AAAAATAGAGAAACGAAACGCGAAATTCGTATGCCAGAGTTATCCCCATGTATATTGACTTTGCTTAGCGAATATAGATATACACCTTGAATCAAAGCGGTACTGGGGAATCGATAATTAGTTCTATTGATGTTAGTCGTCCAGGTGTATCTATGTATAGATGTATCACATTCCGTACACATGTATATTCATCTCGGTAAACCTGTCACAAGGCGAGCGTCGAACGCGTGTCCTTTGATCCTATATTAGTTGCGCACCGATTTGGTCATTAAAATCACTCAAATCACATTGCTACAACTGCAACTGCAACCTGTCGATTATTTCATTTTCGACCCATCGACTCAACTCACTCGTGCACTTGAGTTGTTTATTCTCTTTCATCCTAAACTAAATGACGAAGGTCGGAGAAATCTCGAGCTCGCCCCTCTTTATCCTATCATGTCGCAAGAATAATTTATTGCACTCGAGGTTTTTTGCCAAATAACATATGAATATCAAGTGTGTCAAAGCATTGACATAGCGGCTTTGTGCTTGAGATATTAAAAGCAGACGACAAAAATTTTGCATACTATGAATTTTTTAAGTCTCGTCCTTTGCATGGAAAATATAAAGAGTAAATCCAGCAAACTCGAAGTTTTGCGGGAATATTTAAGGTTGAATATTAACGTCGCATATTAACATCTTTTTACCGCCGGAATTAAAATTAGTGAGAAACGGTGCATAGTTGCGCCCCTCGCTAAATATGCAAATTGCTGCACGCGCGCATAAAGAGTTCCGCTCGAACTACTATTAACGAATATTTGTTCATATTACCGTATATTCATATATCATTTGTAGCGCTTTTAATTTTTTAATGATTCGATATTTAACTTCTATGTAAAATACAAAAACACGTTACGATAAATATTAAAGACTTTATTTATCTTTCATGATTTTTCCATACTTTTTAAACTATGCTTACATTCTTTAAATAACAACATACTTGTAAATTATTAATGCACCAATACATTTAATGTTATCATTAATTGTTAATTAATTATATTGTTATCAACTTCGATTTATATGTAGAAAAACAAATTATTTTAACTCATATTGCAATTTGTATTTCGCACGCGAACATTCATGTATTTAAATTGGATTCATTGTACATACGTGGATGCAGCTTTAGGCGCGGTTTCGTGCAAGGACGTATTGCCGTCGCTGATTTTCCGTAATTATTGCCGTCGCCGCGAGGACGGCCGCAGCGAGGATGCGTCGCGACGCCCCTTCCGCATTGTCGTATTAGCACCGGGAATGCAAATAATTGTTCGCCGCGGCGTATGCGTATGTGTGCGTGCGTGTGTACAGGGTGGCGAAACCGACCCTAGAATGCAAATAAAGCCGACTTCGCATGGGACTCCCGCCGCGAACGAGCTGGTTTGTTCGCTGATGTGGATACATGCGCCTTTGTATGCGCACATAACACACCCGGGTGGCGGATTATCCTATCTGTCGACTCATACAATCCCTACGGCTCAAAATGGTTAGAAAAGACAAATGTCTTTGAAGTAAAAAGGAACACACGATTGAACAATTTTGAGCAATGATTAAATTTTTGTCTAGTTGTCTAGTAAAATATGCTGCAATTAATGGCTGATGATTTCACTTACAAATTTTTAGTTAATTAAAGAAAAATTTTCATATGAAAATATCTTTCTCTAGTTCTCTATACTGCACCGAAAAAAGAAATTTTAAAATATATTTATTTGAATACTTTTAAGCAAATTTTATTAAATATAAACATATATTTATTTGATACAAAAATCTTTAATTTGTGATTTAACTATTATTTTTTCAAGTAAATATTTATTCATTATATGTAAATGTTTATTTAGTACTGTTCAAAGTAATATGTATTAAGATTTAATAATTTTTGTTTAATATATTAACTATTTTTTCTTAAAAACTGTTTTATAATAGTTATTATATATAAGTGCAAGATGTTGTGTAATAACTAAAAGAAAAAGGAAATTTGTTTGGCTGTCTTTAACTATCTGGGATGCGAAAATATTATTCGAGTGCCTCCGAATATAATTTTATCCTTATTTGTTTAACATTCAAGATAAAATGAACAATAAGGATAAAATGATATTCGGAAGCACTCGGGTAGTGTTTGAACGCGCTCCAAATAGTCAGACACAGAATTCCTTTTTCTTTGGTATATAGCTATTACATAACATATGTTTATTATATGTCAATTATATATACAATTCTATAAGTGATTGTTAACTCCAAGGGAGTCCGTAAACGCGTTTACTCTAATATGGATTCAATGTATCCTACGCGATTTTTTACATTGTTGTAACTTTTTTATAATATAATTTGAAGATCTGGATTGAAGCTGAAAAAAAACTTCAAATGTCTATGATAAGAATATTTTTTTTGCGTCTCGATGTGAGAATGCACGAAAGTTCAAAAAGGATACTTGGGATTCCATGTGATTAGCTTGTAAGTTTTCGGCATTCTGGATACTTCTTTATTTTTTATTAAATATATGTTTACTGAATTTCGGATAGTATAAAAGTAAGTACACAAAAGTAAGTACAAAATGCAGAATTAAAAAGAATTATATTTCAATATAATAAATAGTAGAAATTTTATAATTTCTGTTAGTCTTCGGAGATCGCTCAGTCGAGGCGGATTTATTGTTTTAGAGCGAGTGTTGTATCATCTTCTAAACTAAATCTTAATAAACTTTACATATTATAATAATATTATTTATACATGTACATTCTTTTATCTATTTATATTGTTACTCCTTTATATTGTATATACTTTATATTGTATAATTTTATTATTATTCAAATAATAAAATTTTATTTATTAATTAAAATATATGTTCTTCGTTCTAAAATGTCTATTTTTCAATAGTTCAAATAATTATACTTTTTTGAATGATTCATATTATACTATTTTTTTTTGTTAGTCCAAAGGATCAACTAAAAAAATCCTATGGGTTTTTGCTTGAACATTAAATTTAAAAATTTGAGAATTTTTTTTATCCAAAGTACATTTTTTGTGAATTTTTGCAATAAAAATTTTTTGAAATATTGTAATTAATTAAAAATAAAATATTATTTATTTGATTTATGTTTATTTGTCTTTGTCTGACTTCGAGATGTAAATTTTACACGTTTTAAGCTAAAAAATATGTATTCAGTCCAAAGATATAGCGTGACAAAGGTTGCAAGGTTTCACAAACCCAAGTGTTAGCGAGAAGGTAACCAAAAATAACAATATCATTCATTAGGTTAATCGTCAAGCTTAACTGGATAATGTGTTGTATGTAATTCGCCTTGTATCATACGTCGCACAGAACACGAGAGAGGATTTGTTCGAGCTCTACATGTTTCGCGCTTCTCATGTTTCAAGTTTCGCGGGGGAGGAAAAGAAACGTTTGGTAAAGTGCAATAAAATATCGCATCTCTGTGTCGTAGGACGCGATTAATCGCCGGTCCGGCAAGAATTAATCGTTGACGGTGCGATAATTTATCGTGCCCGTCTCGCTGCGATATTTTAGCCGCGGATGTTTTTCCTGGTTTCGCGCTTCGCTAACCTACCGCTTTTCCACCGGAAAAAGGAAGCGCGTTCCGACTCGGCGAAATCACTCCCTCGATTCTGTGTCCACTGAGATTCGTACTATACAGGTCACTTTCCTGTATATCTCTCATAGGCAATTCGCATCAAGAGTCTCATTCTCTTTTCTGGATTTTGGCAAAATAACAACATAATTTTTTTAGTTACAAATACTAATTCTGCTTTTATTTATTGTACTAAATATAACTATTTATTATACTCTTTTTTTAGATTGAATGTTTTCTTCGAATTTTTGAATATTATTCAAAAATATGTTATTTTATTATAATATGTATATTATTCTTAATAATAATTTTTGTAATATTTTAGTATAAAATTTTAATGTCAATATTTTCTACATATTTATAATTATGTACATTATGATACGATTTGATACATAAAGTGTTTTAAAACTTAGATGCTTTTAATAGAATTATTTTTTTTTTATTACGTTTTAAAAGCTGTTTTTTTTTTGTAACACATTTATTTTTATAAGTCTTGCTTTAACGATGTGTTATTTTTGTATTATAAATCAATGCCAGCGTGTATAAACTATAAAGAATCGTTTTATTCTAATTATGATAAAAGATAATAATTTCACATCTGATGAGAGAGTATATTGTATAGAAGAGACAACATACTCCACAGAAAATTCAGATTTTAATAACACTTTACATATAGATATGTAGAACAGAAGGATGAGCAATTTTGCAATTTCTTATTAGTGCAAAACAAGATTTATGTTGTTATGCTTTGCACTCTAACGCACTCTAACGCGAAGCTAAGAATCTGCGAGTAAAATTATGTGATTTCCTCAAACAGTGAATTAGTCATTATAAAGTAAGTTTTTAATTCTTAACCTTAGGATACTTTTGTTTCTCTTGCATCTTATTTTACTCCTGAAAGAGGAATATTAAATATTACATCTAAACGATCTAAAAAATAAACAAATCAATGAATGTAATTAAAAAAATTTTAATTATGATTTGTTTAAAAATAATAAATACAAATTAAATATTTTATAAAAATAAATGGAAATAATTAAAGTTAATTTTCTTCCCGTATATATGTGTATCTATTTAATATATTTTTTATCACAATTTTATGACATTTATTAAATTGAAAATATTGAAATTACGTTTAATTATTATTTCATTTACCATCGCAATTAATTAAACTGTACTGTATATGACACAGATATTAATTTGTAAATGATAATTTACATACCAAACATTTATAAATAACTGTATTCGCAATCAATCGATAAAATTATGGCTGCTATTCATAATATTTAAGATTAATCATATAATCGATATTTGCCATTATCAAATATGTACATACTCTCCACATATAACTTATTGAATCTCGTTTATTTTTGTTCACAGAAACTGCAAACGATCGGCGAAGACTTTTGTGGTCTCGATGTGAATACGCCTTTAGGCGGTGAAGAGCCGATGGGTGCGACTGCAGTTTTGACATTCGAGACTCACTTGACGGCTGTGGCGGCCACTTCGACCGGTGATTATACTGTGGTCTTCGTGGGCACCAATAAAGGACACCTCAAGAAGGTCAGTGCTCGAAGTTAATTAACTCGATAATTTATTTACTGTATTAAATCATAATTGATTTATGCAATTTAATACAAAAAATATTTTATATTTCATATAGAATATTCAAATCTTTATTGAAATTTCGAAATAAAATAATCTTTAGAATAAAATTATTACATAATGAGGTTATTAATGGAATCTATATAATTCGATAAAATTATCAACATACTAGTGGTTACGCTATTACTCGACAAATTATCTAAAATTAATAAATTTTATGAAAATATGATATTAGAGAATAGCATATTAGGATAATCGAACTACATGGATAAGTGACATTATAACGAGGTAATATTCAACTTAGCGCACAAGTTGAAAATTATCTAATAAAAGTTATCCAATCTCTGCTGCCTCATAGTTATGTGATAATAGATAATTTCTATACAAAATAACCGAGACGATTAGCATTATAAAGTCATCGATTAGCGAAACATAGCTTGACGCTTAACGCTACTAGCTTCCTCAATCTCTTCAACGCTAAAGGCAAGGAGTTCAGCAACCCTGAACTTAACGGAGCAAAGTAGGATCAAATGGCAAAGTTCAGTAGTTGCATACGTGCACATGCACATCATCCCACTAAAGCATACGCCCGCGTACATACTAAAGTTTTCCTCGATCATCATAGGGCATGCTCGTTAAATTAATCGCGATCACCATACGATTACCACGTTCGTGAATCAAAACATGATACAACAACGTTACAACGGGCTATTTAATTGGCTTCGCGATAAGTGATAGAGTCAACGGCCTGGTCAAAAAACCTATGGCGTGTACTCGCAGAATTGGGGATCATGGATAGTACATTATCGTGCATCGCTATTAAAGCGATCCCTATGAAATTTTCACAGAAGAACAGCTGCATCGCTAGTTGGATCATCACGAACGGGAATCCTCCTGGCACGGACTGAATTTCTACACTTTTTTTTCTTTTCTAATCTGGATATTGATTTACTGAAAGATTTATATTTCTCACTCTCTATGCCCTAGACATTGCTTTCGAATCTTTTCTCTCTTACATATAGAGATTTCTATACAAAAGCCATCAATAAGCTTTCTCACTAATTTATTTTTCAGAACTTTGCTAACGTTAGTTACCCGCGAGTAGAAAGGAAATGCGTTCTCATTCGCGATTACGAATGGCAGTCACCGTCCTCTTGATGGAGAAAGTAACGATAAATATAGCTGGCCTATTGTAGATAATAATATTTATAGAGTAATAACGTATATACATAATATTGGAGAGAGGGAGAGAGGAAAGGAGGAAGCGAAGCACACACATCTATATATGCACGCTTCTACTTCCACTGCTACATCTATATGTTACGGTAGGCACGACATTACGTTTTTACATCATAACGTTATATCTCGTTATAAATTTATTATTTACAGCACTGTAAACGCGAAATCTCTATCCGCGACTCGTGCTACCCTTCTGAGATTTATCAGTAAACGACGACGTGTATGGTAACCTTACTTTGGACATTTAATATTCGGAACGGCACATCCAGAGTCGGGTAGCTTGTGATTCGTCTTTGTGAAGTTCGCGACGTTAATACGCCTTTTGCTATTTCAACGGAAATGGATTATCTTGGAAAGACTTCGCCTCGAGCGCGCCTTGCTAATGTTCTTCTCGAACGCTCGATCAGCTTGTTCGATAGGTCAAGTCGATTTACGTGAGCGTGCGCTTACTATCGCAAGGAAAAGATTTATTTAGATCCAGAAAACTGATCCAAGAATACAAGAGGAAAACAAATGCATATGCTAGATATATTGATAATATAGTAAGTGATATCATGATGTAAAAATATACAAGGTGTTTCATTGTACATAATGATAATCAAATATATATAATTTTGGGATAAATTTTTGATTAATAATAAATAAACTTTTTTTTAAATATCGGTTTTGTATTGACTTATAACTTATTTATAAATATATTTTCTTAGCTAATTTCTGATTATCAATTGCCAATTCACAGTGAAATATCTGATATTCTTACATCAAGAGTGATATAATAAAACAAAATTATA